AGATTGCCTAAGTAAGGACTATGGACTGTTGTTTCTAAAGAAGATGCCCTGTGTTACTTACACAGAGAAAATACTTAAAATTTCTCTGTGTAGCAAAGTGCCTGTATGCTGTATACATGAAGTTTTGAGAGTAAACCAACTCTGTTACTTTTAAAGAAGACATTTTATTTTGTCTCTTGAGAGCATGATTTAAAGGCAACTATATTTTAAGGGAGAGTAGATGTTTTGGGGCAACTAAAGGAACACTACTGAATATATATTATGTACATTGGCATGTCTTTGTCCCTGACAGTTCAAAGACATACCTAGGTACATCAGTTTAACAGCTGAGAGACCTAGTTGCTTTGCATGAAGATTGGTGAATATCATTTTTCAAAAAGTCATGACTTCTAACAAGGTCATGCCTTTTAATGACCAGTGGTTTTTCAAAAAGGTTATGAATCCCATTTCCCAAGTGGTTATGGAGATTCACATTTTCCAAAAGCCATATAATCCAGATTATGACATCAGATAATCCACATTATCTGCTTTCAACTGGATTAGATGAGTCTGCACTGCCATATAATCCAGCTCAAAGCAGATAATCTGTATTTTACATGAGAGTGTAAAAGGGGCCGAGACTGCAAATGGATGGATTCAATCGAAGAAGCCACGGCCCTGAGTCTGCAAGACCTGAGCAGGTCTGTTGAAGAGCAGGAGCCTTGGACGTCTCTCATTCATAGGGTCACCATCAATTCAAATTGACTTGGTGACAAATAACAACAAAGAGCCTTTACTCACTGACTGGCCCTACTTTTAGTGGGGATTTCTACCTGTCAGATGGCCACTGAAGGCAGAACTTCATTGAAAGCTGGCTACCTTCTCCAGAAGGGAAGAACAAGCATATTCAATCAACTCCAAAGGTATTGGACCATCTGGAAGCCTGGATTTCTTGTTCTCAGATGTTCTGTGAGTGTAACAGAAAGGGCTGCCGAGAAAATTAGCTTCCCAACTCCCCCAGCTAAGTGTGGGTTTCTCTGAACAAGCCGTTCAGAAAACAGTTGGTCCCAGCCTTGCAGCAGGTGACAGATGGAAGGGGGGTATTCATCCAAGTAAGCTGCACCCAGGATAAAGCATAAGCCCCCTCGGCCCCCACTCTCCCAAACACAGCCAATTAGGCTGCTGGTGGTGAGATGCCCTTGGCAGGAAATAAGGGTGGAGGCAGAGGGGTCATGGGCTGGAGTTTAAAAAAATAAAATGCCAGAATAGATTCTGTGGGTGACTTCAGATAAGAGTAGATTCGTTTGATGTAAAGAGAAACTGGGGGCCCTTTTATATTTCACAATTCATTATCGAATGGCTGTATCCTGAGGAATCCTGGAATTAGGAGCCTGGTCAAGGGCACTAGAGGAGCTCCCTGTCTGAGGCACCATAAAGCCATCATAAGAGGGCTGCAAACTGCTGAGGGTGAAACCAAAATGACCATCTATTAAAAAATTGTGCAGTGTTTCAGAAAATAAAAATAATATCCTTCTATCTAGATATACTGTAACCACAGAAACATTTTTCTTAAGTCCAGTTGTATTGATAGACACTCCAGACTAAAACTCCATGCTAATTTTGTTTGAACATTCTAATGCACATGCACTCTAGCCAGAGCTGTCATTATTTCCAGTAGTGATGCTTTGAATCACATGGTTTTGTCGACACACACTGTATGGGAGAATGAGAAAGGACTTGCTGCTTCTCTAACCTATTGCTCATTGCATCTACTTTTGGGGGATGGTCATGTGGGCCTCCAGTGTTGTTAGATTGACACTTGTAGCATTCCTTACCATTATCTAGGCCGACTACGGGGGTTGGATGCAGCAGTACAACATTTGTAGGGCTGCATGATGGTGATGGTCACCCCTTGGTGAAAGAATTGGTGTAGAAGCAGGTGTGAGATGAGACATTGGCCAAGATACAGCATTGTTCTGCCACGAAGAAGTGGAAAAAAAAGGCTTTACCCCAATTCCCGTAGTGCTCCCATATATACACATCACTAGGTATGTTTGATCGGTTTTGCCTTTTGGAGACAAGTCTGTAGAAACAGTATGCTTTAGAGAACAGAGACTCTATTGGACTCTCAGAACAGAGATGCTTTAGACTTTGGACTGTTGATTATGAGACAGATGCCCTGTGTTACCTGCACAAACTACATCAAATCTATTTGTAACTCAACTGATATGTGAAGTACCAGTATGCTGAATACATGAAGTTTGTGAGTAAACCAACTAAGTTACTTTTAAAGAAGTTTACTTATTTTGAGAGCACGATTTAAACTAAGATGTTTTAAGGGAAAGTAATATTTTTTTGGGCAACTGAAAGAACACTTCTGAAACTCTGCTCTCTCTCTCTCTCTTTCTATATATATACTTTTTGTGTTCCTAACAGTTCAAAGAGATATCTAGGTATATCAGTTTAACAGCTGAGAAACCTAATTGTCTTGCATGAATGCTAGTGGATATTTACCACTAAGGTGATGGTTGAATCAAGCAAGTTTTTAACTCTTCTCAGGGAGATTCTCTAGTGGTAATGAATGCCATTTTCAAAAAGATTGTGGAGATTTCCATTACCCAAAAGGTTATGGCATCATTTTTCCAAAAAGGTTATGATTTCTAACGTCATGCCTTTCTAAAGATCACAATTACTCCCAAAAAGTACGTTAATAAAGCTTTATGTGGCTTGAATTTCATATGGCAGTTTTCAAAACATGCGATGGGCTAAATTAGTATTATTAGTTTGAATTATAATACACTGATTGACTAAATTGACAACCAGTGGGTCAAGCCACAACACACACTAAATGGGTCCCGTTTAGTAGGAACTAACCAACAAGGCACAGAGTGCTGTGTTCTCATGAACTGCCTAGATTGAAGAGTGCTTCTCAAACTCTGGTCCTTCAGATGTTTGGGAGTTTAGCTTCCAGAAGTCATAGCTAGCATGAAAAAAGGTCAGACAGTTGGAAGGCTAGTACACACACACCCTTCATGTTAAATCCAGAGAATGGCTTTCATATATTCTTATAGGAGCCCCCAGTGGCACAATGGGTCAAACCCTTGTGCTGGCAGAGCTGACGAAAAGGTCGGCAGTTCGAATCTGGAGAATGGGTGAGCTCCCATCTGTCAGCTCATGCAGGGACATGAGAGAAGCCTCTCACAGGATGGTAAAACATCTGGGTGTCTCCTGGACAATATCTCTGCAGACGGCTAATTCTCTCACATCAGAAGCAACTTGCAGTTTCTCAAGTCATTCCTGGTAAGAAAGCTCAAACTGAACCACCGAGTAGAAGTTTTGAAACCTGATTCCTTCTCCCTAACTTAATGTCCTACTATTCATATTGCACAGACTCTGTTTCTCTTCTACTAACCTCTGCTCAGGATTGCAGTGTTGCTTTTTAACCAGAGGCTTCAAAATTGTGAGAATCAGTGTGATGTCATAGTTTGGATGTTGGACTATGACTCTGGAGACCAATGCTCAAATGCTTTGCTCAGTCATGGAGATGCATTGGGTGACCTGAGGCAAGTTACGTTCTCTCAACCTCAGAGGATGTCAAGGGCAAGTCCATAATGCAATTTTTCTGTGTGTGAAGTTTCAGGACATAGTTAGCTGCACTGAAGAAAGATGTTGGTCGAGATTAAGGAAATTGTGTTACCTTCTCTTCACCAGGTCTGGTAAAGAGAACTTACCAATATTCAAACAATATTATCAAAAACACAGAAAGAGCTTGACAAACAAACCTTTGAATGGGGGAGAAAGCAAAAATCCATCCATTCAGCTGAGAGGCTTTAAGGGTTTTTAACATCTGGCACTGAATTGCTGTGTATTTAAAGCAGGGCTTGCCAATCTTTGATCCTCCAGCTGTTTTATACTTCAGCTCTGACAAGCCACTGTCAAGTTGGTCAAAGACAAATGGTTCTAGGAGACGAAATTAAAAATATTTGGGGGACTAAATGCAGAGAACCTTGGAATAAACACTTTTAGGACCACAATTTCCAAAATCCCCAGCCAGCATAGCCTTTCTAGGAGTGTTCAATGGATTTGGGGAAGTGGAAGTTCGAAAGAGTAATTTTCCTAAATTGTGGCCAAAGCTTTGAATCATCTACACGACCTACTTCAACCGATATGGAGCTAAGCAGAAGAGAACCTTTTAAATCTTCATGATGGATGACCTTTAAAAGCACAGCAACAGGACTAGATTTTTTTTTAAAAAAAAAGAGCAATTGGGAGTTGCAGTGCCCATACTGTGGTCATTTCCACAACATGGCCAGATGACACCTGCTCCTTCTGAAGCTAAACTTAACCCACACTCCTTCTGATTTGGGTTATTTTGGGCCAAAGCAGAACAGTCTGCTATGCAATTTAGGGGCACCGCCTGATCATAAACAGCCAGCCAGTTTGGGAACTCCCAATTCCAGAGCACAGAACCAAAGATAGTATGGAAGGAAAGCACCAGACTTTGCAATACTGAGTAAATCACTGGATTGCTAGGGCTCCAGCATTATAGCTCAAAGCTATAATGGCAGGGGTAAAATCCCAGTCATAGGCAGCTCCAGAAGACATCCATCCATTTGCAAAAGCCTAGCCAAACCTCTACCAGTATCTGGCTGTTGTCAAGCTAGGCAACTCCTCCTTTCCCTTTTAAGGCCCTTCCACAAAACCATATATCCCAGAATATCAAGGTAGACAATCCCACAATATCTGCTTTGAACTGGGTTATCTGAGTCCACACTACAATATAACCTAGTTCAAAGCAGATAATTTGTGATTTTATTCAGCTGTTTGGAAGGGGCCTTAGAAATCTGATGAACCTGTAACTCTTTCTGAAACAGTTATCACAGTCATCTCTGCAGTCTGAAGGACCATCAACCCAATGCAGAAGCTTCCCATTTACTGGAGGAATGAAACCAGGAAACATAAAAAATACCGTGCATGTGTAGCTGTTTGCTATGACAATGTCAAGAAACAATAGCTCCAAGTGAATGCAAAAAGTCATAGTATATTTATCTAAAAGTTAACATCTGAAATGTTGATGCACATGTGTGTGTACAAAAAAACAGCCTTGCTTCTCCCTTGATCACACTTTTATGCAAATGTAAGTGAAACCTGCCAAGTATCCTCTCACCCCAGCATTGCTTTGCTTTCAGTTACGGGGTGTGATTACCTCCATTTCAGACACAACACTCCATGTGTACACTTAGCCCTTTCTTTCTGTGTTGTGTCAACTCCCTCCTCCCCTTCCTGCAGCTATTTCCTGAGATAAGGTTTAACTACAATTGTAAAAAAAGAGAAAGAGAAGAGAGAGAAAACTCCCCTTTGGTTGCTCTCACCCACAGCCTTCCCTAAAAAGAGATTGGCAAAGCACTTAAAAACAAAACAAGAAATCATTCCATCTCCCAACTGCATTACATTATAACCAAGACTCCTTTCATTTTCTCCTGGTCAGCTGCTGGCCTTCCACATGTTTTGGCCTTAACTTTCAGGCAACCCAGCAAGCATGGCCAATTGTAAGGAAATGTGGGAACTGTAGTCTAGCAAAGTCTGGTGAGCCAAAAGTTAACCATCCCTGTTTGAGGCCCTATTATCTACAAGGACTTCCATTTAGGAAGTCACTGCAGGGCCAGACCTTCTCCTGGCTGACTTGACTAATGTTTAGAAGCTCAGCACTGTTAGTTAAAACTGCAGGCAGAATTCAGAAAAGTTTATTTTTGGGCCACAACTAAAATTCCCCAAGCAGCCTGCTGTCCGGAGAGGGCTGGGAGTTGTAGCAACAAAAAAGTAGTATCTCTAAGCTCCGTTTGACAAATTCAGCCTCAAATATAGAATTTCGGGTCTGGAACCCTGAGTGTCCATGATTTGGTGACTTCTGTCACTTTTCTTTCTAAGGAACTGAAATTCACAAGCTTCCTTGGAAACTTCTTCACGGTTAATTCAAAATGAGCTCAGTTCAAACCATGAGGTAGATGTTCTCCCTTCCTGAGGCCAGAAAGTCTTCCAAGTAATGCTGTGTGTGAAGGCGGTAGGAGACGTGCAGTACGAAAACAGCTCTCCTCTTTTGGCCACACTCCTTTGAAATTTGCTCTATAAACATATTTTTAAGCAGTTTAAGAGCATCTGGACTTTTTTAAGTGCTGGAAGGAGGCTGTGGGCAACTGGAATCAAGCCCCTGGAGGTGACGAGACAGGCAGGATGTGGCTCGTGAAGAGCGCTCCTCTGAACCGATTACAGATGGAGATAGGCAGCTCAGAAACCACAGTCGCATAAACCATGGGTGGAGAGGATTCCCATATGCTGCAGCTAGATTTTGATACTAAAAGGTCATTACAATAAGTGACACAATGCTTGCTGCCACAGAAGCTTGCCCTATGTGACAAGAGATATCCACTGGATTAATAGGTCCATTTCTTGAGTATGGCTTAGAAGCAAAAGACCTACGGACTGGAAGGGAAAAGGCTGGTCCAGGGATGGAGACAGTGATGTGGTTGTGTTCTACTACAGTTTTCACTGCCAAGACATCCTGAAGTGCTCCACAGTTCTGAAACCCCTTCCTTCAAAACCCATTTTATCCCGGGATTGGGCTTTCCCATCCTACTTCTTAAATTAACTCCAACTTCTAAACCTCAAATGATACTTCAAGCCCTAGGTCAACATGTCAATTCTGCTAACGCCCATTTAAAGACCCAAAACGAAGTCCACAATTTACAATCCCAGACCACCCAAGATCTCCGGAAGTTTTTTCTTACTTCCTGTTATTTTACAGCTAGGCATTTTCAACTTCCCAGTTCCACCCCTTTCCAGAAGTCCTCACCCCCTCCCCACCCTGATGCAAGGAACAACCTTGGTAGCATTAATAGATTGGTTTACTCTGCTTCCAGAAAAGAATGCTATTCTCCCAGAAATAAAGAAAGCCAGCTCCCCTTTGTTTCTTTGGTCTTACCATATGCTACATCCCCCCGAGGCCTCTTTCCCCCACCCCTACTGCTTCCTTGAAGACCTATACTGTCTCCCTCCCCATGAGTTCCTTTCCTGAAAAGTGTAGCTGCCCAAACAATGGTAAGGCCAGAGCAATTCTGCACAATCTATATCTTGTAAAGCAGTGGTTTTGAACCTTTGGCATCCCAGATGTTTTGACCTTCAACTCCAGAAGCCTCAGCCAACATGGCCAATGACTAGAGATTCTGGGGCAAAGGACAAGAACCATTGCCACAAAGCATAGACTGACCACCAAATTCAGATCTTCCATGGAAACTATTGTCCTTTTAAGCGCCTCAATGGGTGCTCAAATCTTCTTGCTGGTGAAATAAATAAATAAATAGCCGCATTGGAAGGTGGGGGCTCCCAGGCCCACACTAAGCCCCACGCCATTGCTCCAGCTCTGCACGTCCTTTTACAACTGGCTCTCTTCTTCTTCGAGGGAACGATTCAATCCAGGGATAAACTTGAGTAGTCTCTTGCGGAAGCTTCCATGCTTACTCTTCCTGGGCCTTGGTGTTGCCAAGGAATTCTTCTGTTCACATGACTTGTCCCAGAAGCGAGGAGCTCCATTGCTGTTGCTGCTGCACTTGACACTGGCGCTGCGGGTGAGTGTTGTCCTGGGGCGTGACGACTGGGCAGCCGTGGAGACAGCGTCCAGGGAATCAGCAGAGTCAAAAAAACAGGTCTGGTAAAGAGAGTCCTCACTGTCGTCGGTGGCCGTGCTGACGCAGCCCACACTGCTGTACGTGCTGCTTGCTCCTGGCAACAGCATCCTCAAAGGCGTGGAGCCTCTTGCCAAGGCAGTGCCATACAGACAGGAACGCACAGACTCCAGGGTATCATACACGCTGGGGTCTTTCACTACAATCCCTAAGCAGGAAAGAGCAGAGAATTAGAATGTGGAGGGCAATATCTCAGTTCTCCAAGAGGGAGAGACACATACAACCCATCCAAGCCTTTGCTTCTTCAGCAGAGGAGAGGGCGATTGTTTATTTCACTTAAGAAAGACATCCAACCCAGTTCAGTTCCCAGCCTAAAGAGTTCCTAATTAACCACCAACAGTGCAATCCAAAGATGACCAAGGAGAATGATTCCATGGTGAAGGAGATGCCAAAATCTGAACAATCTCATTTTCTCCCTGAGGAGAGAGCGAGATGCTTACCATACAGCATCCCGAGGTATGCATTCTCAGGGACTGCATGGTCCCGTCCTGTCCCCCCCCCCCCCCCCGAACTGTACATGGAAACACAACAAAGGACGTGCTTTTATACAGAAAGACAAACATAAGAGTTTCATAAATGGCAGAACAATTGTGCTGGAGAGAGTCTTCCTGTTCTAAAAAGGTAAAGGTTTCCCCTTGAAGTTAAGTCTAGTTGTGTCTGATTCTGGGGGGTGTTGTTCATCTCAATTTCTAAGCTGAAGAGCTGGTGTTGTCCGTAGACACCTCCTAGCTCATGTGGCCAGCATGGCTGCATGGAGCACCATTACCTTTCCGCCAGAGCTGTACCTATTGATCTACTCACATTTGCATGTTTCCAAACGGCTAGATTGGCAGAAGATGGGGCTACCAGCAGAAGCTCACCCCAATTCCCTGGATTCCAACTGCCAACCTTTCAGTCAGCAAGTTCAGCAACTCAGCAGTTTAACCCGCTTCACCGCCAGGTTGACCAATTGCCAGGAATTCTGGGAGTTGAAGCCCAAAATACCAGGTGGACCCATGTTTGGGAACAACTATTGTAGATCAAGGATGGGAATCACATAGCCTTCATGCTGTTGGACTACCACTTCCACCATTCCTCAACAGCTACTATGCTAGCTAGGATTAATGGGACTTGCAGTCTAACAGCATCTGGAAGTCCACATAATTCCCACCCTATTCATGCAAATTGATCCACCAACCCCTTCCTGATACTCACCATGGACCAGACGTTGCTCTTGGACCATCAATGACCGATACTCCCCCCATTTTTCATAAAGTGTTTGCTGCAATGGAAAGAGACAAGTTTAACCAAAAATTTAGCTAGTTGAAAACACTTGGAGGGCTAGTGCGGTCCTACCTTTGCTTCACAAGTTATATGGGAGTTGCCATTACCTTGTGTTTGGGGTGCCATTTAACAACAGGCAGTAGCCTCTATCTGTCTTGGCCACTCTCCACTTTTGACTAATCAACCCCATTACAGTACTTCTTTGAAAAGTAGGTGACATCTATTTTTTTGAGATCTGAATAAGGAGCAGCTTCACTGCCAACAGAGACAAAGAAAATGCGAGCTGCCACAGCAATTGCTTAACAGAGTGTGGCAATACCGTAGTATGCATTCTTGTCTTTTCTGTAGTCATGTACTTGTATGCATATTGTAAAGGAATCTATTTGCAATGCCAAATGTGTTCATTAAAAACCAACTTGTCCCAGAAACAAGCAGTTCCATTGCTGCTGCACTTGACACTGGCGCTGTGGGTGAGTGTTGTCTTGGGGTGCGACAACTGGGCAGCCGTGGATACAACGTCCAGGGAATCAGCAGAGTAAAAAAAACAGGTCTGGTAAAGAGAGTCCTCGCTGTTGTCGGTGGCCATGCTGACTATATACTTGATGTTCAACATATAGTTCAGGATTACCAATGAAGTATACCATTGCTATCGTTAAAAAAGTAGGATATGTTGAATCTTCTCTCCTATATATAGGCAGAACTAAATAAAAATTATCCTGATCCTAAAGATGGCCTCATTCTTTCCTGAATGCTCTGCATCAGAAGTGTCACAAACCTTAAGGTACTGCAAGCGGGCCTCCAGTTCTGCCCTCCGGATTGATGTGCCATACAAAGTCTCTAATCTGAAAAAAAAAGTAGTTAAAAGGGTGTGCTTAGAGGTGGCTGGTTCAAGGCAGTTACTCTATCCAAGAGAAATAAGTCTCTCTCTGTGTGAGAGAGGGACGTCTACTGGCTCTCTCCAACATAACCAACCCTTCTCTCACCTCAGTACATTTCCGGATGCCTTGATGATTTCCACAATCTCACGGTGGCGGATCCCCTCCACATTGAGCCCATTCACAGCAGTGATGGTATCGCCTAAGGACCAGAGATGAATGGAAAAACGTCAGCTGTTGGGATCCCTTTCACAGCATGAACTGGCAGAACAAGAGCATGTTGTTTCCCTGGCATTAGACCACGGGTGGGAGTTGTGAGGCCTTCCTGTGCAGCTTTGCTAGAGTAGCCAATAATGACTGTATGCAGGCAGTTGCAGCTCAGCAACCTCCGTGGGTGGGGTGGCGTAAAATTCTGGACTTCACATGACACAGAAACTCTGTGCTGTATTTTATGGGCCAGAATATTCTTTAAAAAGTTATCCAGTTCAGGAATGGAATTCTGCAATCTGTTTGAACTGTCAGTTTTGCTTAACCTTTCCTGGGCACACTACTCGTGTGCCACTGAGCTTTACCACAGTAGGCCCCAGCCAGAACCAAATGTCATTGTACACACATGTTCAGATCTAGTGGATCCTTGGTCACGTCTGGTGTTTGGTTCCAGAACACCATGTGGATACCAAAATCCATGAATGCTAAAGTCCCATTATAAATAATAAGGTAAAGGTAAAGATTTCCCCTTGACATTAGGTGTAGTCATGTCCAGCAGCTGATTTTGGACGTCATGAAAGAACACAACAATGTTAGTATGCAAAAGGATCTTGCTGTACCTTAGAAACTACTTGAGAGAATTAAGTTGGCAGTAGAAGCTTTTGTGGACTGAATCTATTTCCTGAGATGTACCTGCTGCAAAATTCCTTTGCACACTGATGTTCCAGTCTTTGAATTGTTTGGCTGGATCTACACTGCCATATAATGCAGTTTGAGTCTGCACTATATGGCCAGTGTAGACTCATACAATGCAGTTTAACTGTACTGAACTGCATTATATGGCAATGTAGATCCAGCCTATTACCATGTTAGTTACTTAATTCATTACATGGCTATGATTTCAGCCAACAGGGAGAAGGAAATGTACCTGTAGAACTTTCTGCTGTTTTTGGACCCCAAATGCCCATGGGCGCCATGGGAACATCTCACCATGTTTTTGGGCTTCCCTGGACCTCTAGAAGTCTTTTTGGACATCCTGAAGCAAACATTTTGCTCCGGATGTGATGGAAATGCCCTCCACATTGTCTATACTTCACTGCAGAACAACCTTTTTGTCTGTAGGACCACACCAACAGAACTGGGGGGTTGCACTTTGCCCAGCCAGATTACCGAACCTCAGAAGAGAGGTGAAATTTGCAGTTTCAGCTCAGGCACCAACATGCCTTGGGGCAGCTCCACTTCCACAGTTTCTTTCTTTCACCAGTATCAGCTGATAACAACTGACTTCAACTGGCCAATTACAAACCACATGAGGTCCTGCTAAGGAAATGAGATGCATATGCATGTGGACATGTCCTCACTTCCTTTTGTGGTTGCATTTCTTCTCCTCTTGTGAAACCCTAAAAGCAGAAGCTATCTATCTATCTATCTATCTATCTATCTATCTATCTATCTATCTATCTATCTATCTATCTATCTATCCATCCATCCATCCATCCATCCATCCATCCATCCCGCCATCCATCCATCCATCCATCCATTTATTGAGACTGATAACAAAAAGGTTATCCGATGGAAGGCCTTCTTTATTTTGATGCAGTTCAGCTCTTGTAATCCTTAGCCATGTTAACTAGGACTACAAACACTGTGACTCCAACACCTTCTGGAACAGCCACTCGCAATTATCAGGCAAGAGTGTGACCAAGTAATCCTCTTTCTCCAAGACTCTGGTATCATTGAGAGAATTGCCAGGGCTACACTTAAAGTGTGTCCCAGCTTTTCTTTCAGGCTCTAAAAGGAGAAAAATATTGTGCTGGGGAGTCACAAATAAGGCAGGAACTTACTTCCCTCATGGCCCACATCATAAGGTAAAGATTTCCTCTGACGTTAAGTCGAGTCATGTCTGACTCCGGGGGGTGGTGCTCATCTCTATTCCTTAGCCGAAGAGTTGTCCGTAGACACCTCCAAGATCATGTGGCCGGCATGGCTGCATGAAGCACTATTACCTTTCTGCCAGAGCTGTACCTATTGATCTACTCAAATTTGCATGTTTTTGAACTGCTAGGTTGGCAGGAGCTGGGGCTAACAGTGGGAGCACACCCCGCTCCCCGGATTTGAACTGCCAACTTATTGGTCAGCAAGCTCAGCAACTCAGCAGTTTAACCTGCTGCACCACTGGGGGTTCACATCATATTCTCCGATAATTGGCCAGTTGAAGTCACAGCTTGAAAACATGATGTGTGTTGACCCACACTGGCCATGATGGATTGTTGATTTTGGGAGTTGTACAACCACAATGTAACTTTGCAGGTCCTGTGGCCTTTCACACTTACATGATCACAGCATTACCATTCCACTTTATTTTCTATTTCTGCATCCTATAGAATCCTGGGATCTGTAATTTTGGGAAGAATATCATTCTTGATCAGAGAGCTCTTTTGTGGCCTCTGATGGAACAGCAAATCTGATACAGCCATCACAATTAAAATGGGATCACTGTGCTGTAACTGTGTAGTCAAAAGGGCCCCTGGTTTAAACCAGACTTCCTTTTGATGGGACCAGGAAGTGTAAAGTGAAGGATAAGCTAAGAGGGAAAATTACAGACAGGAAAGCGGGGGGGGGGGGGGGGGGGGGGGGGGGGTTGCTTTTCTAGGAATGGTAAGACCAGTTCAAATAATCACTTATGGGGGTAAGTACGAAGGAAAATGCTGGCTCTTAAAACCAGTAATACACAGAATTGTAGATGATGTTTAAAGGAAGAAGAAGGAGAACTAAGGATGCCCTAATTAAGATTTCCTATTTCTGGCTAAGTGAAAAGGCCACACACAGCCGATTTCCCACCTTTGTGCTCTCAGTTCTGGGCAGCAAAACACTTTCACTTCCCATTGAAGACATTCTGAAATCTGGTTGATATTTGTTTAATTGTTACAGGCAATGCTATATGAAAGCAAGCCATGTCATAAAGGCAAATCATTTGTTTCCATACAGTAAATCGTGTCAATATCTTACCAGGTTTAAGGCCAGCTACCTGCGCTGGGCTACCGTCATGCACTCGGCATACGAAGGTGAACATTTCCACACGTTTTGAGTCCTGGTGGTGTAACCCATATGTCTGAAAAGGATCCAGGAAAACAGGAAATGGTTGGAAAGGTTATGCAGCCAGACTGTGGCCACATCACAACATGCAAGGTGGAACATTATCTAATAAGGTAGATCAAGGAGCAAAGTACCTCCTAGCAGCAGGAGGATCCAGAAATGCATGGCAAACAGTGAGACAAAGACAAAAGACAGAAAAAGAAAACCCAAATTCAGTATTTCCCAACAAGAAAATTCAAATATTTATTCCACTATTTGGATATCAATGTGTGGCGAAGCACAAGATTTGCCAGATTTTCAGTCTTGGGATTCTCTGTTAAGGGTATAAATCAGTGGTTCTCAACCTGTGGGTCCCCAGATGTTTTGGCCTTCAATTCCCAGAAATCCTAACAGCTGGTAAACTGGCTGGGATTTCTGGGAGTTGTAGGCCAAAAACATTTGGGGACCCACAGGTTGAGAACCAGTGGTTGTAAACCATGTGTGTCTCCCTATGTTTCCGAACTGCAGTTTCCAGCAGCCTTAGCCCACATCACCAAGGTGAGGAATGCTAGAAGATACAGATCAATAACATCTGGAGGGAGGGGCATAATTTCCACTCATGCTCTGAAATCCAAGCAGTGGATTTTGAAGATTAAACATTTTTTTCACTAACCGAAAAAATCACTTTCCAGAAAGTTCCCTTTTGCAGATATGTTTGGGCAAATTCTTGGTGTAGTCATTCATCTCCCTCTGAGGTTTTAATTCATAACACACTGCTCTCTTTGATGGAAACCAAACCAAGGAGATTGTAAGGATGGCAACAAGTGGGTTGAGAGAGAGAGAGAGAGAGAGAGAGAGATGCCAAGGATTCGTCTTCTGAGCTAACTCACCTGAATCTCAAAGCCAAATGCTTGTGCCTCTTCCTTCTCAAGGGTGATCACTTTCCTGTAAATAACAGGGGAAAGGAAGTTAGTGCCCAAGATTGCCCAGAACTGGCACAAGGTACGAACAAGTGCAATATTTATTTATGCAAATACTGTTTGTGAGCACGGATGATCTTTTCTCCTTCATCTTCTCGGCTGGATGTACTAAAAATCTATTTCATCACACCCAGTTCTCTCACACCAGAAGCAACTTGTCACTCCTGACACACACACACAGACACACACAATCACACCCTATCACAACCTCCCTTTCTGATTTCTCATAATGAGGATTTTTTTTCATGTATCATTCTAAACAAAGGGTAGGTGGGAAGTTATAAGAAATGTGATCACCTACAGGATTTGCACTGCATGACTCATCTCCCACACTTGCACTCCCACACCCCAACCTCCACCCCATTAAGCAGGAGTAGGCTGGCTGCCACAGCATCCATCCTTTGAGGAGCCCAAGCTAAGCCTCAGAGTGGCTGGGAAGCAAGCCCCAAACATAAAATAAAGAGAAACCCTATTGAAGAAAACATTAGGAACACAAAAGCAAAAGCAACTGATCATTCTTCTGGTTGCTGTGAGCTATTCAGGATGTATGGCCATGTTCAAGAAACATTCTCTCCTGATGTTTTGCCCACATCCATGGCAGGCATCCTCAGAGGTTGTGAGGGCTTGCCTGCCATAGATGTGGGTGAAACATCAGGAGAGAATGCTTCTGGAACATGGCCATACAGCCCGGAGAACTCACAGTATTCCAGTGATTACGGCCATGAAAGCCTTCAACAACACATTGAGTGTTCTTTCTTCAACAATATTTAGATCTCATGTCAGTTTTAGCATTTGCAACTTTATAGATTCTGAGTGGATAGCACTGGGTTAATACTGAAGAGCTGAGCCACATGAACTTCCCTGGGTGGGGCTCCTTTTGGTGCTCTGCATAAGTGGCAAGCTTCCCTCAGACCTTGGCCTTCCTGGGCCATGAATTTCTCATGCAAAAGAATGCCAAAATAAGTATGTTTTCATACACTTGAAAATCAAATTTAGTTAAAAACTAGAGTATCAAATAAAGATAGCAAAGTCCTTCAGTCCAAGGCCGTGCAGTTATTTTCAGGATTCAAGGTTCACTATTGTTTACAGGGAAGGTCTCTTAGCTAAAAATAATATAATACCAGTGAATAATTGCACTGTACTCAGGAGTTATGTAACACCCACCTCCTATTTAAACTATAGCACCCACATTTCACAACCTGATAGTTATTGTTTAATTACCGTATATATTTGAGTAGAAGACGAGTTTTCCAGCCCTTTTTTAAGGCTGAAAATGCCCTCCTCAACTTATACTCGAGTTAAGGTTATTTATTATTTTACTTTGTTGTTGTTGTTGTTATAACATTTATTATTTTACTCTATTATTACTGTTATTACATTTCCATTATTTTACATTATTATTATTATTATTATTATTATTACATTTATTATTTTACTCTCTTTATTATTATTGGAAGGGTCCATATGCACATTTACATTGAATAATGGTTTAATTAGAGTTGGACAGTCTTATCTTACATTACAGTTTTATGTACAGTAAATATTAAAAAACATTTGACCTACCGATGCCTCAATTAATGTAATTTTATTGGTACCTATTTTTATTAGTAGCTGCGGCATTTCCCACCCTTGGCTTATACTCGAGTCAATATGTTTTCCCAGTTTTTTGTGGTAAAAATAGGTGCCTCGGCTTATATTCAGGTTGGCTTATACTCAAGTATATACAGTATATACTGCGGCCTATAAAGCCCTAAACAGTTCTGGCCCAACTTGCCTGTCCAAACACATCTCCCCTACGAACCATCGAGGATGTTGAGATCATCTGGGGAAGCCCTGCTCTCGGTCCTGCCTTTGTCACAAGTACATCTGGCAGAGACGAGAGACAGGGCCTTCACAGCGGTGGCCACTCGGCTATGGAACGCCCTCCCTAAGGAGATTAGATTGGCTTTTTGGCTCCTAACATTTCGGGAAAAAAACTTAAAACATGGCTGTTCTAGCAACCATTTGCAAATATTGAGTAATGGACATAGGAAAACAGAACAACTATATGATGGAATTGGACAATGCTTTTATTGGGGATTTATCGACTTATGTTTTTATTGCTATTAACATTTTTAAATTGTACTTGCTTTTTGTGGCATTGAATTTTTGCCTTGTAAACCGCCTCGCGTCGCCAGAAGGCTGAGAGGGGCGGTATACAAATAAAAAAACAACATTTATTTATGCACACACACAAATCTAACGTTCATAGAATAAGACAGCTTTTAAAATGATGGAATTATATCAGTCAGATCTCACAACTATTAAAATCTCTGGTAAATGCAGAGAACATATGCCAGGTTAAAAAAAGGGCAGTTTCAAGCCCTTGAATCTTCCGTTAAGTACAGGAACAACCTCTGCATACAAATCTGGGTTGTTGACAACAATGAGCTGGACAAGGATCAGACTCTGCGATTAGGCACGTCCTTATGTACATATGCTGGTGGTAGTTTAGGAAGACCTGTCCTTGGCTGTTATTTTATCCTAACCTCCAAGAGAAAATCCTCTGTGCAGAAGAATTAGTAGCTCACTGCCAGTTGTAACCATTCCCCTTTATTCTTAGTTTGGTTGCTGTTTATGTACAATGAACTTGCAGTGGTGAGACACTGGGCCAAAAGCGAGAAATCTGTAGCTTTTGTAATTCTTGCTTCACTTCCTGCACAGAGGAGACAGGAATCTTCAACATTTTCCCTTCCAAAGTCAGAAAGTTGTGATCACACCAATCCCCTCCTCCCTAACCGCCTGAAAGTTAAGAAATATGAATCTTACTGGTATTACAGTATTGGTTTTTTTCCATCACACTTTTTCAGGGGTTGGCTTGAACATTTCCAGTTTCCATCTATTGCAACAAAAACAATTTCTCGGAAGCAGTCTTCTAAGAGCCTGAACTGAATGAACAATGAGCCCAGGAAGAGGAAGTTGGGACAACCTTCTGAGAATCTCTTGTATATACAATACAGAAGATCAGGGCCATAGCCAGAAAAGAATTTCGGGGATCACGGGTGGGGGTTGTCAAACTTTTTTTTAGGAAATCATGAAGAATATAGCACAAAATAATTTAAATTGTATGGTTCATTCTATATTTTATATAGACTTGATTAAATCAATGTTCTATTTTAGTTATAAAGTTTCAAGTCTTAACTAAAAATGACTGGTAATTGGTAATTTATAGTTACAAAAGAATACAACGTCTGTTGGAAACACTTGAAAACTGTGTCAATACACTTTGACAGAAAACAGGTTCTATTGATAAACTTTGGTGGACACTCAAGAGAGCAAGTCCAGTCAGTCTTTCTTGACCCATTGTGCTTCTTATGTATGTTTTCAAATGTGCAAGAGTTGAAAACAACCTATATATAGGCATAGCAATGGGAACCCTACTACCTGGAAAAGGGGAGGGGGGGGGAGGAAGGAAAGGCCTAATTCCCCATTAGAAACCTGCCTCCTACCTCACGCTTAAGCAAAGAGCACAGCGGGGGGCAGAGTAGCCTTAAATAGCCTGCACATCTGCCCCTGTCAACCGCCCCCACCAAGTCTGATCTCCTTCATGAGGGGCTTAAAATCCACCCACCCATAACTGGCTTTGCCTACCAGTTATGGGTGAGCCAATCTGGTTGCTTCCACTATATTGGCTATTGCTGCAAGTAATGACCGCAAATAAATTGTCAAACTTTGCTTGAGATAGCACTTGCGGTTCTGGAGAGACTTTTAAGTTTTTCTTCTCATAGACTTAGCATGGGGATTTGGTTACCCAGTTTAATTTCATGAGTAAACCAGGGGTGTTTTTAACCTTAAAAATGGGGGTGGGGGAGAGGTGTGAATCCCTAACCCCCCGCCCCGCTACAGAAGATATATTTTTCCTGTCCAGTCCTTGTTGAACTCCACTTCCTATCAATCCTGGCCAGGAATTCCAGTAGTGGCGGGGGGGGGGGGAAGGAGCTGAATTTCAAGAACATCTGGAAGGTCTCGGCTTCTCCATCCCTGATATTAAATGACCCATCAAAGTAGCTCATAAGGATGGCGTATAATAAATCTATAACTGGCTAAAGTGATTATAGAAGCTGGTCAATAAATGCAAGTTTGACACCTGAGTCCAGGACAAATCAATGGATGTGGAGTGAAATGTTCAGGGCAAATGTAGGTGAAGCATCACACCTAGAAGAGTGCTGTTGTTGTTCATTCGTTCAGTCGTTTCCGACTCTTCATGACCTCATGGACCAGCCCATGCCAGAGCTCCCTGTTGGTTGTGGCCATCACCAGCCCCTTCAAGGTCAAGCCAGTCACTTCAAGGACGCCATCCATCCATCTTGCCCTTGGTTGGCCCTCTTCCTTTTTCCTTCCATTTTCCTCAGCATCATTGACTACTCCTAACTTTCCTTTCTTCTCATGATGTAGCCAAAATACTTCGTCTTTGCCTGTAATATCCTTCCTTCCAATGAGCAGTTGGGCTTTATTTCCTGAAGTATGGACTGGTTTGATCTTCTTGCGGTCCAAGGCACTCTCAGAATTTTCCTCCAACAACACAGTTCAAAAGTGTCTATCTTCCTTCGCTCAGCCTTCCTTATGGTCCAGCTCTCACATCCATAGGTTACTACGGAGAATACCATTGCTTTGACTATGCGGATCTTCATTCCCAGTGTGACAGAAGGCTGCTACAAGAGCAAGTATAGCTATGAAAATGTTGATACCATCTCAAATGTAACGGTACCCACGTGCATATTTCATCTGTTAAATCACCAAGTGCTGAATCTGAACATTTGTAGACCACCTTTATTATTATTATTATTAAACTTTATTTGTACCCCGCTAGCATCTCCCGAAGGACTCGATGCGGCTTACAAAGGCCAAGGCCTCAACACACAATATAACAATACAACACCTAAGGCAAATTAAAAACAATTAAAGCAATATAAACAACAAGCAATAAACAACACACTAAGACACAATAAAACTGGGCCGGGCCAGAGTAATGGGCACAGGATTAAAAGTGCTGATGTGACAGGTGGTATATAAGGCTTATAGGGCAGGTGCAGTGTGCAGTGTGCAGCAATCTTAGTTCTAATAAAGTGCTTATGGGACTTGGTATTGGAGATTTCCTATTCTGGGAAGGCACATCGGAACAGCCAGGTCTTCAAGTTCTTTCTGAAGACTGCCAATGTAGGGGACTGTCTAAGATCTTTGGGGAGGGTGTTCCAGAGTCGGGGGGCCACCACAGAAAAGGCCCTGTCTCGTGTCCCCACCAAACGCGCTTGCGACGCTGGCGGGATCATGAGCAGGGCCTCTCCGGATGAACGAAGTGAGCGCGTGGGTTCGTAGACGGAGATACGGTCACGCAGGTAGGATGGTCCCAAACCTTGCAACCATGTAGGTCTATGGTCAATTTGAGGGGATCTGGTATCACTGAAATGGGTTGCAAAGTTCTCAGAAGTGTTGTTAGAAGAATGTTTGACTTCTATCACTGCGGAACTGTTAATTCTTGGAGATTAAGTGGTATCCTGAACAATATTTATGCACATATTTTTAATTGGGGAGGGAACAAACCCCCCTGAGCTTCTCCAGGACTTGGGGTCTGTCTGTTCACACAGAAGAGAGAGTGTTGCATGTTCGTTCATAGTTTTCATTCTGCAGAACCAGCAGCCTTGTTGACTTGACATAGACATTCTCTCGGCTTCTGGGTGACAAATAGTCTCTCTCCCGATGACGGGAGGTGGGATGGTTAATGAGATGTATTGAGCTGATTCCAAGACAGCTGGAACTAGTCATGMTGGGCCTAGTTCCCTGTTTCATAACTTGACATTTCTTTCCCCCTCATTAACAAATTAATACACACCCAAGCACCTCCCCCCCCCCCCCGCCATAATGAGCATATTAGAAGACACTGTTTATGTGCCTGAGTTGCTACCTTTTGTGAAGCAGCGTTCTTGTCTTTTCTGAGAACTGCTCTTTCAGGAAAACTCAAAAGGTAATGCCAAATAGTTTTGAAAACCACAAGCAAGAAAAAAGTGAACAAACAAAAAACTTAACCAAAACTCAGTTTCCCAAAGTAGTACTTATGGGTTTGGTATCATTTCCATGCACTGAAAGATGATCCTACAGGGCTTAGACAAAGAGGCAAGGAACGCCTGGTGATCCTGACATTTTGAACTACAGCTCCAATCACTGGCCAACACACATTTTGGTGCCTCAAGTGTTAGACCTGTTTCTGGTTATATCTAATTTGCAGATTCCAAAAACGGTATCTGGGGTTGTTTGGAATGCTGCTTCAGAAAATTGCATTCGATAGGTCACATCAGCTCTATTTTCTTAGATATGGTTCTCATGGTTTTCTATGGGCGAGCAATGATGACTGGCATATACCATATGTTCTGTGTCATAAAAACTAGAGCTGACAGGAGATCAGGCAAAGATGTACTTCTGACCACAACACTGCCACTTGCAGAGCATATGAACCACAAAAAATACACTTACAACATTAACTATCACTGTAATAAGCCATGCTGGGGATACCAACCCTCCTACTTCTCTTCTTCCCAGAAGAGTCAACTGGACTGGCAGCTGAGTCTTTGTATTGTTGAAGGCTTTCATGGCTGGAATCACTGGGTTGTTGTAGGTTTTTTCGGGCTATATGGGCCATGTTTTAGAAGCATTCTCTCCTAGGAGAGGATGCCTCTGGAACATGGCCATATAGCCCGAAAAAACTTACAACCACCCAGCTGAATATTTATTTATTTATTTGCTTCATTTATGCCCAGCCCTTTTCACCCCCGTAGGGGGAATCTTGTTCCAACATTGGAGAAGAGACAGCATTGTCTATCACACTGCTCTTTTTCTTCCAAGAGAGGGGAATGGCAAAGGAAGCACTTTGCTGCCATCACCCATTATCTGCCACCAGTCAACCACCTCATTCTGACTAATCCTAGAAAGAGCTCAGAACTACAATTTGGACAGACAGCAAGCAAAGCAGCACAAACTAGAGAGCAAAGGGACACCTTGTTAAGGTATATTACTGCAGTCACAGTAATGTCTGTATCTGCAGTAATGTCCAGAGCCCCCAGCGGCGCAATGGGTTAAACCCTTATGTCGGCAGGGCTGATGACCGAAAGGTCGGTGGTTCGAATCTGGGGAGCCGGGTGAGCTCCCGTCTGTCAGCCCCAGCTTCCCATGCGGGAACATGAGAGAAGCCTCCCACAGGATGGTAAAACATCCAGGTGTCCCCTAGTCAGTGTCCTTGCAGGCAGCCAATTCTCTCACACCAGAAGTGGCTTGTTGTTTCTCAAGTCACTATTGACATGAAAAAAAACACTGCAGACACACATGACAAAGAGGTCAAGGCAGAGGAGCTGGACATGGTGATGGAACTGTGATGCTAGAGGGAGAATCATGCACTTCCTAAACAGTAGCTAAGCCAGCCATTGGAAAAATGGGTAGCAGAAACTTCTCCTTGTAATTCAGGCACTGGTTGACAGCCTCAGTTTGTTTTCTGGAAAAGCAGTGGTGGCAATGATCTTGTTAGAACAGAGGCCACCTACTCAATGTTCCATATTCATTTCTGTGACCAATTTCCTTTGTATGGTTCTAGATACACTGACATAAAATCCCCAGATGGACAATAAACTCAAGTTACTGTCCTATTTTCTTATGGGACGAATGTACTGTGATTCATTCAACAGAGCTTTTGACCTACCTGCTAAATAGTTTGGCTCACGATTCAAACTGTTTCCAGTTTGCTAAATTGTTTAATATGTTTTCAGTGTGTTTAAAAATTAATTTTAAATTGGGTTAAACTGTTAAACCAATTTCCAAGTTCCTTTGATATAGATATATCAAAGATATATATAGATATAAATAACCTGGCGGTGTAACAGGTTAAATCGTTGAACTGTTGCATCTGCTGACCTAAGGGTTGCCAGTTCAAAGCCGTGGGTTGGGGGGAGCTCCTGCTGTTAGCCCTAGCTCCTGCCAATCTAGCAGTTCAAAACATGCAAATGTGAGTAGATCAATAGGTACTGCATTGGCGGGAAGGTAATAAAGGTGCCCATGCGGCCATGCCGGCAACACAACTAGGAGGTGTCTACGGACAACAGGCTCCTTGGCTTGGAGATGGAACAAGAGCACCTTCCCATGGCCAGAGTTGAGCACCGCCTCCAGAAGCCGGAGATGAAAGGGGAAGCCTTTACCTTTGTTCTATGTATTTGTATGTCTTGTTATTCCACTGTATTAAAAGGCATTGAATGTTTGCCTATCTGTGTATGTTGTAATCCACTCTGAGTCCCCTCAGGGAGATAAAGCGGAATATAAATAAAGTGTTATTATATTATTATAAATAACTTAAATTTTTTGCTTGACTATGATCACTAGTATTTCTAACTCTACTCTCATTACCAAAATGGGATTAGTGGGGAAAACTGATAGTTACTGTCTGGATAAAGACTAAGAGGCTTCTCCAACTTCATGCCCACACTAGGCTACAATTGCCACCATCCCTAACTGGTCTGAGCCTCATATTGGGGAGGGCTATGCCATACCGGATGGGGGCTTCTGGGAATTGTATTCGAAAAGAAGGGAGTTGCCCAGCTCTGATATCGTAGTAACCCATGCCTATCAAGGTTATACTTCCTATCTAGCACTTCCCAGGAGGGTGTGCGTGTCAGACATTCTTCCAAAGATCCCCTTGTTATCTAGGAAAATCAAGGACACTTGCCGTTGCTAAAATATCTCCTCCAAAGGAAAGAACAATTGGAGGGTTTCAGTAAAGCACCTCTCCAAAGGCCTTTCATGTTTGGGAGACCACAAACCAGCTGGGACACTAGAGGATGGTGGCATGTGCCACAGCTGTGATGCTCATGTAACCGGCCCGGTGCAACAAACAAAGAAGAGCACAGAGGGAAGGGGGAGTGGGTGTGAGGTATTTGGGGTGCAGCACTTTTATGCGGAAGAGTCAAGTGGCATTTCAAAGCAAAGGGTGGTAGCAGAGTTATCAAAGACTGCCAAGCTCCATGAACCAGCCTGACTACAGTTCAGAAGCATCAGAGTCTGTTCAGCGGTCAGGACAGAAGCTGCTGATTCGGCTGAATTTCTCCAGCGAGCAGAAAGAGACAAAGGCAGTTAGTTACCTGTGCTGCTCAGGCGACTGGCTGAGAGACTTCCACTTCAATCCGGAGCCCTGAGGGAGTGACGGCAAAAGAAAAGAAGAAGAAAACATACAATTAATCGGGAACAAGGAATGAAACGTGCCCCAGAGCCCTTCCAAAGACACATATGAGGAGCACAAGGAGACCCATCGCACTGCTTTAAAGCCAATGAAACAGCACAGAATAAATTCACGTGAAACACACTTGCATATGAAACCCCTCTTACATACGCCCCCTTTTTTCACCCCTCTGGCTCTTCAGAAAAGATGTTTTGTTTTGTTTTCTGAGCGTTGTTTTTTTTTAAAGGCAGACAGTAGGCAAGGCTATTGTGCTATTGTGCAAGCTCTTAAGGCAGACTAAAACAGGGGAGAATGCAGAGCAAAGGGATGAAGGGAGGCTTGACTGACATTGCATCTCCTCTCTCAATAAGTTACCCCACAGGAACAATGCTGCATTGGGACAACTTTTGCCTACCTTAATTGGAAGTAAAGAGTACGGAAGTAATTCCTACTTAATGCTCTGAAGAGTCAAACCATGCTATTCAAATACTACTTCTTATTACGCCACTTCTCCATATCAGAGTTGTGTGCACCACACAGTGTGTTCTTAATCTCCTAAAATGCCAGAATAAGGTCGGGAGGAATCTCGATGGGGAATCTGTGTATAGCAGTACTTTGACTCACTCCTCAACCTGCTGGTTCATAGTCCTCATCAAGATTGGGCTCCCTGTGCCTAGAATCTGCATTAGGAGAAGAGACTCACATTTACACCAACTGAAGCTTTCCTTTCAATACACTGAAGAAAGCAGTGCAGGCCCAGTGTGGACCAGTACCAATGTGCCTACTATACTGGTCTTCCAGAAACCACTCAGGCTATTGCTGAACATGTGAATGGTGCCTGGTCTATTTTTGCCTGCAGAAAAGAGTCTAAACTACAGTGCTTGTATTCATTGATCATTTACGCTGCTTTTTACTGCCAATTAGGGTTAGCGTTTTGCTTCCTTCCTTGGGCTGAAGAGATGCAAAAACAATAGGGACCATGAGAGCTTTGTTTCTCTCCGGGCTTTGCTTGTTTTGTTTCCAGTGCTGTCTCCCCAAATTCTTTAGGAGCAACTCTGAAAAACAGTGTACTGTAGTGTTTACTGTAAGATCAGAATTAAGAGATCAAGATCCTAGTCCCAACTGAGGGACCTTCCAGACAGGCCCTTTATCCCAGGATCTGATCCTAGTTTTTCTGTTTATCCCAGATTATATGGCAGTGTGGACTCATATAATCCAGTCTGAAGCAGAAAACCTGGGATCAGATCCTTGGATATAGGGCCTCTCTGGAAAGGTCCTGAGCCACAAACATCCCTTGGTTCAGTAAAGATCACATTAGCATTGGTGACTTCTTGTAGAAGGAAATATCACTATGTTCAATGAAGTTTATTTCTCAGTAAGGCAGGGGTGGAGATCCAGATGTTGTAAGCCTGCAACTCCCAGCATTCCTCAGCATCAGCTATCCTGGCTTGCAGCCCAGTAACACCTGAAACAGCCACATAAACCCTACACTAGAGTTCAGAAAATATGAGAAATATAGGGGAAGTATTTACAAATGAGAAGTGGGTCTTCCCTTCTGTCCAAAGAACCATTCTCTGTTGTAATAGCACTTAACAGTGTTAAACTAGGAGCTAAATAAGACATGTAGAATAATCTAATACAAGTAGAATAATGTAATACAATACAAATAATAATACATTTTAAGTATATATTTTATATTACATGTAATATTACTAATAATATTACAATAAAATTATATAGTACAATATAGTAATATAGAATACTGATACTGTGCTATGCTAATAATATAATATATTGTATGTATATATATCTTGTAAGCCGCTCTTAGTCCCCTTCGGGGTCAGAAGGGCAGCATATAAATTTCGTAAATAAATAAAGAAATAATCACAGGGTGTCTTAAACCTACTCCTGTTGATAGACTTTATAAACTAGCTGGTATATCCCCTCCCTGATGTGCGATAGGAAGTTGTTGCCAATTGCGAGAAAAATAAGGTTGAACACCGTGAAAGCCACCCACTATATAACTATCAGCCTCTTCCCAGTAGACTTAAATCAAGGAAGCTTCATGAGAATCACCAATCCTCTAAATGTTCCTCCAGCAAGAGCAAGAGTATCCCTGTGGGTGGCAAAATCAGGCAATTCCAACTGGATGGCCCCCACAAAGGCAAACCAAGAATGGGCAATTTGGAAGTCCCTGAACAGACTCAGTAGTGGAGTTGGCAGATCAAAAGACAACCTGAAAAATAGCTCTGTCTAGAAGAATCCTCCATCTTGTGTGACTGTGGAGCAGAACACACAACTCAGCATCTGTATGCTTGTCTGCAATGCCCTGCCTCATGCAAAGAGGAAGAACTGTTTAAAGCTAAAGTTATCAGTTTTAGACTTATCTATTTATGCAATAGGAGCCACCAGTGGTGCAGTGGGTTAAACCACTGAGCTGCTAAACTTGTTGACCGAAAACTTGTTGAGCGCACAGAGGTTGAGAGGATCAATTAGCCAAGGTTGCAGGTTCGAATCCGGGGAGCGACATAACCTTCTGCTGTCAACCCCAGCTTCTGCCAACCTAGCAGTTCAAAAAAATGCAAATGCAAATAGATCAATAGGTACTGCTCCGGTGGGAAGGTAACAGCGCTCCATGCAGTCATGCTGGCCCCATGACCTTGGGGGTGTCTACGGACAACACTGGCTCTTCGGCTTAGAAATGGAGATGAGCACCACACCCGAGAGTTGAACACGACTGGACTTAATGTCAGGGGAAAACCTTTACCTTTACTATTTATGCAATGCTTTTGACATGAAATAAATAAATAAACAAGCCAGGAGCTCAAGGTTCAAGTTGCTATTAAACTAAGTGATCTTTGGCCAGTCTCTCTCCGCCTTCCTTACCGTTGTGAAGAGAAAAGCTATGTAAGCTACCTTGAGCTATTTGGAAGAAACTCCGAAACTAATAACTATAATCAACTTAGCACCTTACTAACATTTGAGCAGAAACCTGGGCATCTAAGGTGGTTTTCCTTGGATCTCTCCCCAGGCTTGTCAACTGTTTCAACCGGCAAGACTACAAACAAGGGAGAAAGGGAATCTTGTGCCCACCACCAGTTTTTGATGTCAAGCATGCAAATGGAAAGTCGGATTCTGAACACTGCCGGCTTTTAAAGCCACATGGCTTGATGCCACGGGGAAATGAGAATTCCTGGGGAGAGAAAGCCTGTTTTATCCCAAAGTCCAATTTTTAAATAAAACCCACCACCCGAGCCCCTTAACAGACAAACCCTTCCATTGTTGGATATTTGAGCAAAACGGCACACCCAGCGCACAGAGGTTGAGAGGATCAATTAGCCAATTAGCATAAATATATCCAACCGCCCTCGGGAGGTGGGCGGCGGCCCCACATTCATTCCAGTTCACATTTAGCATTAAGAATGTCAGACATCTTGGCCAAGTCACAAATGGCCCGGCAGTTGGTTAACGACAATGTTCCGTCTTTTATTAACTTTTCCAAGCTGCGCAAGCGTGCAAACGTCCTATGTCTTTAGTCGCTGGTTGAACTCCCCGACTTGGCCCAGGGAGCAGCCCAGAGACAAGGCAGCAGGTTTCTATTAAACAGCCACACATGCGATTGGAATTATGTTTGAAGGCAAACATATGTTCTGCACGAATGCAAACGCCTCGGCACGCCAGCCAGGGCCGCCATCTGAGCACAGGGCCCCCGCCTCCCTCATCTTGGCCCCCTCTCTCCAGCCTAAAATGACCTCCAGGCTTAGACTGCAGACTGTCAGCTCAATGGCAGCTTCCCCCACAGACACAATACTTCAGTGGCCTCTCAAACACCATTTCAGTAGACAGAACTCCACTGGAGATGTCAGAGAAGTATGGGTCTTTAAAAAGGAAGGTCTCAACCAGTGATTTACAACAATGCTGAAGAGTTAGTTAACCATTCCTGGAAAAATATATGCCATGGGTGCAAAACCTTTGAAGCTCTGGATCAGGGGTGTCAAACTCATTTTCATCGAGGGCCATGTCGTTTATTTATTCATTTATTTATTTACAGTATTTATATTCCGCTCTTCTCACCCTGCAGGGGACTCAGGGTGGATTACAATGCGCATATACATGGCAAACATTCAATGCCATTTAGACGTACGACATATATTGACAGACACAGAGGCAATTTAACATTCCAGCCACTTGTGACACCAGTCCTTTGATGGAGTACTTCCTCATTCTTCTGCATACTTAAAGCGGTACCTAAATTTCCTACTTGACAGATGCAACTGTTTTTTGGGCTGCATAGGTCAACAGCAAGCTAGACTATTAGTGGTCAGGAGCTTATTCTGACCTGGGCTGGCTTCGAATTCAAGACCTCTTGGTCAGTAGTGATTTAATGCAGCTGGCTACTAACTAGCTGCACCACAGCCTGGTTGCCTCCAAAGGGCAATTACAAAGGGCCAACTATATTTTTTTAACATGATAATTGGTGTTCTTTACTTTTTACCCAATTTATACAAGTGCCCTAGATGATTTAGGCAAAAGTAAAGGTAAAAGTTTATCCTTAACATTAAGTCTAGTCATGTCTGTCTCTGGTGGGTGGTACTCATTTCCATTTCTAAGCCGAAGAGCCGGCGTTGTCCATAGACACCTCCAAGGTCATGTAGCCAGCAAGACTGCATGGAGTGCTGTTACCTTCCTGCTGAAGTGGTACCTATTGATCCACTCACATCCACATGTTTTCAAACTGCTAGGTTGGCAGAAGCTGGGGTTAACAGCAGGAGCTCACCCTGCTCTGCAGATCTGAACCACCGACCTTTCAGTTAGCAGTTAGCTCAGTGGTTTAACCCACTGCACCATCAGGTATTTCCATAATTCCTTGCCCACAGCTGTGCTGGTGGCCTGAAAGAAGCCTCAGATAGGTTTGTCATTGGGAAAACTGGTGGCAGCTCCTGTACCAATAATGGTTGTATAGAAAAGGATAT